GTCACTTGGTTAAAAGTGTAACATTGAATATGTAATATTGCAGCTTTGGACAGGTAAAAAATGTCAGCAACGGATTTTGAAATGTGTCACAAAAGACTGGTTCGACGAACACGAGATGAAATCACAGTATAGAATCTGCTACCGAATCGCCATCCATTCGCTTCAAGCTTGTTTCGAATCATTCGCCTAAATTGTTACTAGTCCATGCGATTTTTAACGATCATTGTATAATACATTTATATTGAAAAATGGATTGCCTCCGGAAAGAACCGTGGAAAGTTTCTTCGAAGCTGTTGACGATCTACCAACTAGGGTAAAGAATAATTAATATCGCGTTAACTGATTATTCAACTGTTTGCATTTAAAAATGTGCTACTTTTATCACTTGAGAGTAAGATGCTTGTAGATGTCGAAGGTATCGACCTTTTTTTTTTTATACTTGACGCGTTAATTAGGAAGAAATGATGTACTGTTTAAAGTTAAATAGCGATTAAATAAGGAACTAATTAGATTTTATAAATCCTGCCTCGCAGGACGAACAGTCAAGCGTTAATAAACGAACGGGTTGAACACAGAGACGCTGATGCCTGACGGGATGCCTGTCTGAGTAGCGATACTTACAACTGGCAAGGAGATAACTTCTAACAAAAGAAAAGACAAATTCGATATACGCCTGAAAGCTTCTGACTTAAAGTCACATTAAAAAAATATTTTTCTATAAAAAACATCACTCCTTAGATGTTGTAATACTTGGAGGTATGTTAGGCTGTCCCGAGCTGCTCGTTCAATCGTAACGCCTCGTGTCCAAGAGTTCCGTTTAGTTAGCGTAAGTAATTTAATGTCCGGTAAGAATTGCAGTATTCGTTTTGTGTTTATACTCGTTGAAACATCATGACTGCCAAAATGCTTGTCGATGCGAAAGGAAGGTACGTAACGCGCAAAATGAACGTAAAACAAACGTGGAACAAACGTTAGCACGCGACTGAAGTACAAAGTTGATGAAACGGTCGTGAACCCGACTCAATTTGTCGTTCTCGTAATCGAGTCTAGGCTTGATTTTCGACTAGGCTTGATTTATACTCTGCTTCTACGAGAACCGCGTAAGTAATTGTACAACGCTATGGTGCTATGTGTACGTAGATTTATTGGAAAACGCGTCGCACCCCTTGAACTCTCTTCTTGCTATTAATACTGTCACTGCTGAAAGAATAAACGTTTGTTATCTCTGACGGAGATCGATGAACCTCCTCTTTTAAATAGGGCGTATTTTACAGAACGTTCGAAGATACAGAATTTCACGTCTCCGCTAAAGAGATATACTACGTCTACGTAAAGGTATTAAAATATATTTTAGTTTACGTTTAATTGTTTGTGTAGATGATGGTTTAAGGACTGGAATTATAGAACCAAGTGCCGTATTCCTGCCGTCACGAGAGTCCATACTAGTTTCGCGCAGCTTAGTGGAGAAAATATGAAAGAAAGAGAGACGAGCGACCGAAAACTGCTCTTTGCGCACTATGGACTCTCGTGACGACAGGTATAGAAATGAATCTTAAGAGCTGAGACAGTAAATATTTCAAACTTCGTACGACTGTTTCAAGTATATGAGGAATAGCAGTAAAATACACGACTATAGTCGGTATTCAGAGTCGTTTATTCTTAAGATTATCTTAAGTATTTGCTATCCCTGTCTATCTCATATTTCCAGTCCCTGTACAGGAAACAGGGGCCTAAGCGGATGCTTAGGCGATATATATCTCTAGTAACGACTCTGAATACCGGTCTATGATTCGTGTAGAACCAGAATCTCTCGATTAACGATGGCCTTTTATCACTCGTAGCGTTTAAGTTTCGTGAATGAAAGAATGAACCTGTGTGAAAGAGACTCTTGTTTAAAACACGAAACGGTTGACCGTTTTCGCACTGCCACATGTAAGTATGTACAACGAAACCTCGATTGTTCGACCTAATTCTGGTGAGGAATCAGGATCAGTGCCATAACTAAGTCAGGATCGTGCCATACGAAGTGACTGTGGCTAAGTGTCTAACTCAATAATGTCAAAAAAATTAAAAATATTAACGTTTTTAAAATTTAAACAAGTTAAATTTTAGTGAATGCAGTATATAAAATACTATTAACACAAGTCAAGTGAAGTGGAAACCACGTGCACCTTGAACCGGGTGTTCCTCGTTTTGCGCCCAAAACCCAGTTGCACTCCCAGCGAATGCCTCCTTCGCCCTCGTTACGGCTCTGGTTAAGATCGTAAAAATGTCAAATTTTTCAGTTAATCGAGGTTCCGTTGTACTATACTTTTATGCCTTCATGTTTAACTGCGCTGGCTAGTTTCGATGAACTTAGCGAACAAATGAAATCACGCAACGACTGAGTCGGTCGCGATTAATGAATACTTTATAAGATTCTGTCCATGTAGTAACCATACGCATACAAATTGTTTAGGAGATTAAGAGGACGATATGATTGTTCGAATTGATTTTCGAAATTACGTTTTTGATTCGACGTTGTATAAGGAGGTAAAAAAAAAGGTAGGAACGACGGGGTGTCGTGCCTGGACCAAAATACCAAAACAATTCCCGAGTACAAATCCGTTTTGGCTGAGGTACGACGACCAGCTACCCGATTCTTCTTAGGCTCTTTTTAAAAATCGAACAGAATCTAGAAGTAACTTGGGAGTAACGTATGTACGTTTCAACAGACTGCCATAGTTAATGTTATTAATGATTACACGTATTAATTAATCATTTATTAGAGAGAGAGAGAGAGAGAGAGAGAGAGAGGGAGCAGAGTAACAGCGAGTGGGTCTCTCCTTTCGCTATGCAATTTTCTCATGCGAAATCATCCTGTATAAAATCATTTATTTCAGCGGCTCGCAGTTTACGCTCCAATTTAATTTCGATCAAACGGAAGATTCCAACGTGGAAATTCTGCGGTAAAACCTTCGTTACAATAAAGAAAATTATCGATGCGAATTGTAATGAAATGAAATAGTGTGGAAATAATTTTCAGAATGGTCGTTTTGCGTTTGTAAAGAATATGAGAATGAAAGCGAGTTGTATGTGTGTGTGTGTGTTGATTGATCATTTAACAGTTCGCACTCTTCTGTCTCATTCAAATAAATTGATGAATGCCACGATGTAACGTGTAACAAGAATTGAACGTCTGCATAATCGAGTGTATCTTTCTTTTTTTTATGTACGTGAATATCGACGATGAGACGATAGTTTTATAAACTAACACGTGACATCTCTCCTGTAGTTTTAAACACGTCCTTATATTTATCGATATACGCGATATGTATCTTTCACGTATGGTCTAAGCTAATTTCAACGGTGGAACGACTTTTTTATAAGACAATAACGAAACGTTTTTATAATCCCGTTACAAACGCAAAGTTCGATCAATTGTCCCTGAAATTCATAGCTGATCAGGATTCCTCTTCTTGTCTTCGTCGACAGGGAGGAGAACTGATTGTTTTAGGCGATAGCACAGCGAAACGTTACTGTACAATTTCGTTTAATAACTTATTAAGTAGTGCGTACTTGGTTTAATACCATTAATGTCTAGCGTAATGTAGAAATGATGATTAGTACCAGTGTACGGCAATTATTTAAATATACTACGTTCACCAATAAAAGCGTTCGTTTTAATGATCTATCCAAAAATTGCAGTCGATTCATTGCAACTTATAAACAGACGTTCATGAAAATTTATATAATGAAATAATGAAAATATTCATTTTATTCAATAAACAAAACTTCTGTAATAACTTATTGCACTTTTAAATTATTTTAAACCTGACATTGAACTGTTATCATGTCCTATTACTGTGAGATGACTATCGGTTGAATGATAGTTATTCAAATGTTACACTTGATTATATAAAAATAATTTTAAATGTAAATTATAGAACAGTGTACTTATGTGCCTGTGTAGACGTAGGTGAACGGCAGAACCTTGAGAACCAGTTTAAGTGAAAGGAACGCGTAGTACCTTCAGTACAGTTTCAGATTCGTTATAAACACGTTCCTCTCGAAGAATAGAGTCTGATTCTCTGAAAATCAGTAATAAGTAAGTAGAATAATATTCGAATGCAACCCTTAATAGTACATCGAGTTATTTGATCATGTAAATATTGAAATATGCACTCAGCTTTTGATATTCTGAATTATTTTAATATATTTATGATTTCTTAACATTCTTTCCTCTAATAATCTGAAGCCTGTTTATAATTCTTAACGTTCCCAATTAAATAATCTATTGAATCCTCGAAGTGTCTGCCAAATTAGAAATTTATTGGGGAGTCAGTATATTAATTGCAATTTCAGATTAAGAATGAAACTGTACAGCGTATCCGACGGACCACCGTCTCTCGCCTGTCGCCAAGCTTTAAAAGCTTTAAACGTCGAATACGAATTGGTCGACGTTAACTACGCCACGGGTGAACACATGACAGACGAATATGGAGAAGTATTATTGAAATTGATAAATAATTTTCATTTCATTTTTTTAGTATGATCGCAGACTTTTCAATTGCTGCAAATTAATTACATAAT